TTAATTGGGTTGAAGTTATTTGGCTTTCTGTATGCTTCGGTTACCTGAATGTCAGATTGTTTCCTTATATTTGGTGAGTTTTCTGCTTTAACTTCTGCCCATATTCTTTTTTATATCATTTGTATTGACTCCTTCTTCCTCATTGATGCCTATTAGTCTCATGTTATTCATCTTTGCATTGTCTTGCAGGTGGTGAATTACTTTTTCCTGCATCCTAGTTGTTTTTAATAGATTTTTTTCTTACCTGTTCATTAGCTGCCACAGCATCTACAAGATCTGAAACTCTATCATAACTTTCACTCAAACGGTTTTGCAAGCTTATGTTTGTAATTTTAAGTTCCTCTGTGTCCCCTTGACTCTGGTTTATGTGATCTATTTCTTTTTTGTATTGCTCATTCAAAGAATACGTTGCTTTTTGAATCTCCTCTAATTTTTTTTTAATCAGTGTCTTCTTGAGAAGTAGTTGTTAATTGTTTTACTTCAGAGTATATTTCTGATCTGATTTCCTGTATGTGTTTCTGCATTTGATTCTTTATCTCAGACGCTCTTAAATCAGAGATTTCATTTTTCATTTCAGAGATTAAATCTGGTCTGAGTTTCTCTATACCTTTCTGTTGTTGTTTCTTTACTTCAGACACTATTAATTCAGAAATTTCAAGGGCCAGGGAGATGGCTCAGTGGAATAAGCGCTTCCCTGGCAAGCACAAGGGTCTGAGTTCAATCCCTGGTTCTGCCAAACAAACAAACAAAACAAAACAAAACAGAAATTTCAGCTGTGCTAGTGTCCTCTGCACTTGTTTTGGGTGAGCTCGGGGCCTGAGATTGCATTTTGTTCCTTCTCTTTGTCATTTTGTATAGCTCAGTTCACTGACCTTTGGTGTAGAGCTTTGGTGCAGTTGTAACCTTAGCACCTACTAAAAATTCAGGTACCAATATACCAAGTTCTAGTTCATCCAGTTGTGCTTGGCTTGGATCTGGCTACTCTGCTCAGCTCCTTCATGCTGCCTCCCCTCGAGGTAAGCCTGCTGTGCCCCTTGGGAAGGTGTTCTGCTCCTGGATTAGCTGTGTGGTTTTGACTCTAGTCTCACTGCAGGGACTTCAGCTGCAAAATTTCACCCTATGCCTGTATGCCAGGCCTGGGCTGGGTCTGGAAGGGTATGTAGGGGGCAGGAGAGCCCAGAAGCTCTCCCACACACTCACCAGGACTGGGCTTTGGAAGGTCTGGAGGGCTCCCAAGAGCATGGTGGAAGTTCTCACTCACACGTGGGGTTGAGTTGGCTCTGGAGTGGCGGGGGAAGTCTGGAGAACGTGGGGAAAAATCTCCCTCATGTGGCAGGACTGGGCTTGGTCCCGCAGGTGCAGGGCAGTGCAAAAACTCCCACACACTCTCAGGGCCTGGGGTTGGGCTGAAAACACAATAGTTTCAAAAGT